AGTCTGTATCACAGATATTGTCCTGTATCCAATATAGTGGACCAACACCTGAAGCAGAGAAACATCCCAATTGCATTATATTGCCACCAAAAACCAAGAGACTCTCCAGAACTGGAAAAATGTCATTTGGTCCGATGAGACAAAGATTGATTTGTTTGGATCTGATGGTAGACTCCATGTTAGGCGCCCAAAAAACACAGCATTCGATCCCAAATACATCAAAAGGACGATCAAACATGGAGGTGGCAATATAATGCAATATGTAGTTTCTAAAAGTGTTATTATCAAGAGAATGGTGGACTTTAAAGTGGTTTTAAAATCTCGAGTGTATTTCCAAAAAGAATCAAATGATTACTTTTGGCAACATGATTTACATCAAGCTGAACGTTGAAGGCCTCATGAACTGCTTTTTCCTTTGAAAATCCAATTTAATTGCTACGTAAACTTCGCAACTGTTGCAAAGAGACAAATATGAGTTGCGCACTTTCCCTGCACTTTCCTCGCTCCCTCTCCTTGCAGCTCAACCACAATATCACGTGCTTGTGTGTCGGGTGTGTATTTGCAAGGTGTGCGTAACAAAAGGCAGTGGGTTAATTGTTAAGCGGAGTGTGACTTTTCCACCCAAAACTCACAAGCTGCTCACGCACACAGACGCACAGCCGGAAAATTCCACATGAGTGTATGGTGTCAAGAGCATAATTATTGAATTACTTGACGCACACACATAGAAAAAACGAAACGAAATGGAGGCAGGAAACCAGCAGGTCTGCAAAAAGTCAGGTGGCACATTTGGGAACCTGGAACGTAATACTATGCACTATAAAGTGGCAACTTGTAAATGTGTAAAAATACCTGTTACAACACAGACTCATCTCCGTGTGGCTGTGCTTGTGTGTGTCGCGCAAACAACGAAAAACCTAAAACATGGCCGTACGGTTAGCAGACTCCAAACAAGCGGCAGAATAAGCAACAGTGGCATCGGTAATGGTAACGGTAACTCCCACGTCCATGGGTGGCCAGGAATCCCCCCATCAAACTCACATGCAATACACTCGCACACGTGCACCTTATGTGGTTAAAGTGGTGGTGAAAGTAGTAGCCAGCAGGAAAAAATGGAAGAACGTCAACAATCAGCACTTCGGTAGGCAGATCACTGAAATATATTCCCCTTGATTAACTCAATTAAAATATTTGATTAAAAACTGAGTAGTAAAATATATAAAATATAAAATATTTAAAGTATTAACCAATTTCGTTTTTGGCCAATATATGGTACATGAGTACAAAGGGTTCAAGGACGTGCTGTTATACAGTTATAAAGGTAGTAGCTACGACTTTTGCTGAAATTCGCACTTGCAACTGTTTTTTCTCTGTGTAATATTGCCGCTGACGCCGGTGTGTGAGTTTGGCGAAGCGCGTGCCTTTTGCGATCCATGTGGTAACTACTCTCTCACACAGATGCACTTGTTCAAGCTGCTCGCATATGCATAGAAAGAAATGTTTACCTTATATTACCGCTCCGCAGTCTAACCAACTCTTTGGTGCGTCCAGCCCTCTTTTAACAACCTTTTGAGCCCGTCTTACTCCCTTTTGCTCTCCTCGCACCACGCTCGGCCAACTCCACATGTGTGATTTTTGGGAAGCCCTAGCCAAACTTTGTCATTTAGTTAGGTGTAAGTTAGTTTTTTGGCTTTTCCGGCCCAACACTTTAAACAGAGAGCGAACGTGGCCGAGAAGATAGAGGGGGGAGGGCTTATATGGCGAAGATGGGGCTTAAGTGGGCGAGCAGCACAACCGCAAGGGGTTACCTAAATTTAGTGCAGTTTGTGAATTGTGCGTACAAGTAGAAAGAATAACTTCCTCACGCCCACATGGCGCACCCGAAGGTGCACTTTCCTTTAAATCAAACACTTGGCGAAACATATGATCGGTAAAGTTTAGGAAAACCCCACTTAGAATGAATCATGGAAATGAGTCCACTCCAGGATGGATAACTTTAAGCACTGCTTTTACAGCTGCAGCCACTGAAATCTAAAAGCGGCAAAGTTAAATGAACTATGAATTAAATCGAATTAAGTTCGAAATTATATTAAATTTCGCTTTGTTCTTTATAACTAGAACTTCTGCACAAGAGTATTTAACATTTTAAGGGAAATTTAAGAATCTGCTGCTATTTCATTTACCAACAGACATTTATAATATTTAATCGCAGAGTAAAAGAGTTAATGTATTCGATAGAAAGTATGCTAGCTGCAAAGCGTTGCCGAGTCTATAAAGTATATATATTCTTGATCAGGAACAATATCAGGTACCTAATCGCTTAGTCCGCATAGCTAACTTCAAATGTAACCGCTTCGATGGACAAAACCGAAATAACATATTTTTAAAAAGTGGAAGCTATAATATATTTTTCTCTATCTTGGGTCAATTTACCAATTGGTAAGGCCAGTTCTCTGTCCCTAACTGCCGCCGTGAATCGACGATCTTCAGACACGCATACTCTTTAGTGAGGGAAGGGGACATAAATATGACCAACAAATTTTTAATTACTTGTTTGGGATAATATTTTCGCGAAATGCAATTTGTCTGACTAACTTTACTCATTCATTTTGGACTTTAAGTTGCTGCAAGCGTACGAGCACACAGATACCCACACACTGCCGGCAAACAGCAGCAATTGATGCACTAGCATGTCGTGTTTCCTTGACTGTTCGTGTGTGGGTGAGCGAAGTGTGTGAAAGCGCCTGTTTGCTTGTGTTTGTAGTTTGTTCTGAAAAACATAACTTTTGCAAAACGAACAGAAAAGGTAACAAACACACATTCATATATGTGGCTACCCCACTCATGCTCCTGCTCCTCCCTTTCTCACCCTCCTTGTCACACCAACCCAGTTCTTTCCTGTTTGCAAGTCCAGTGTTGAGAAGGTATTTGCAAGGGCACAAGGGGTACGTTGTTTTATGGGTGCACGGCAGTGTTGCCAGGTGATGAGCGCACATATAAGCTAGATTTGTGAAAAAAATAAGCTAGAATAAGCTAAAATTTAAAAAAAATATGCTAAAAAAACAAGCTACACCCAAATGTGGGTGGCAATAGTCATTGGGGGCTATTTTTATGATTAAGTCCTTAAATTTTTATTGAAAGGGCTGCTTCCTGCTCCTGTGTTTTGTAACATTTTGCAGGGAAACTTATTTTCTGAGATTGTGCAATTGAGCCCATTCTAGCACGTGCTTCGTTATTGTCGCTTGCTGCCTTTTTCAAAGATTTTTGCTGAAATTGTTGACTCACAGTAGGAGCAATAAGCTCTTGTATATTCTCCTGGCAGTCCACGCCTTGAACTCATTACTTTGGAGTCAAGCATCGCAAAAAATTGGTTTATATTGGACTTTCGGCATTTTACCACTCGCTTTATTAAAGTTCACAACTTCAAGTGATTGCTGGTAACACTTTAGCCAACATATCGATCTTCGATGGCACTATCGATTATAAATATATTCACGATCATAAGAAACGCACATAACCATCGACAAAAAAAGAACAAGCTCCGATATTTTCATGTCATAAAGCATATTTTTCTTAAGAAACAACGCGTTAATGACGTAAATAAATTTAAAGCTAGAATATGCTAGGTGAATTTTAAAATAAGCTATATTTCAAGCCATAAGGTAGATCGATATTTTTCAAGCTTTTCTAGTTAAAAATATGCTAGAACTAGCTTATAATAAGCTAAACTGGCAACACTGGTGCACGGGTTTTTTGAACTTAAATATATATTTTTTAGGATTGCGAGTGTTCGTGGTTAAACTAAAAAATATAGCTCATGTCAAATCCAGCTTGATATCTAACTATAATTAATAGCTGTAAATAATAATCTTAATTAATAATTTAATCTTTAAATGTGTTTTTTTCTGTTTTTAGTGGTTTTGAGGTGCTAAGCATTGGTTGGAGGATCGCAGCGACGACAATGGCTGCAAATGTTCGGGCCAATGCATTGCAATGCCTTCTTCTGCCCGCCTCCAACGACCATGCCTCCGCCCAAGCCTATACCTCCCACATACATATGTTTTTACACACACGGACATCCCTTCATATGTACATCCATACGTCGCGCGTGTTTCCTTTGACGCTGTGCACGTTTTTTACCCGTTGAAATTGTAAAAGTTTTGTGATTTTCACGCCGCTCTTTGGGCGCTCATTGTCGGTGCTGTTTGGGGTTGTTCACTGCACTTGGAAACTTTTTCGAGGCTAATACCCATTTCTGGAAGAAAAGCTTTCTGGCTGTTCTTTTGGAGCATACATGTTAACTTGATATCTAGGGCTTCAGATTGCTTATTGGCGGAATTTAAAATAAATAATTATGGGCTAACCCAGTTCTACCAAAAAGTGTTCGAATTCAAAATTTCTGGATTTCCAAGTATTTTTTTTAAGTGTATAATTGTGCCTTTGTCGTGCGGCCCTTGTGTTTTTGCTATTGCCGGTGTCGTGTCTAATTTCTGTTTTAAATACATAGTTGATATTGCTGGCAAAAGTTGCTGCTGCTCTAGAGCCGCTGAATAATGTACATATAAATAAATGCAATTTGCAAGTTGAATTGTGTGTGGTCGCTGTATTTTCGGCGCACTCGGTCACACTTTTGGGAGCCAAGTGCGACCCCAGATGGCGCCAGTTGGACCGTCGATTCTGATAAGATTTATGTCCTGCAATACCGATTGTCAGTTAGCATTTATGATCCACCTGAACAGCACTTTGGGGGATTGTCGTAGTCGGGAATAGGGCGCCGTTCCCAGTCACCCTTCTCGCTTGTGCAAACTTTACGCTAGCCATATTTTTGTCCAGGAAAATACTTTTGCGTAAGTGAAGGACAAACATTTTAATTGAAATGGTTGAAAAATAAATTGAATGCGGATTACGTCTGCAGTTTTTTGGGATTCGATTGTAATCTACTGCATTGACGCCCAGTTGCCTCAAAAATCTCATCTAAGTCTTATTTTTAAACTGGAAAATTATGAAAAGACTTTTTATTACTATTATTTATACCACAACTTATTAAAACACAAATATTTAATCACCAAAGAGCTTCAAAAAATAGTCAATTAATTTCGACAAAAAATTACATTTTTCTACAAACATTTTCTCTCGAACTGAGAAAAATTTGACATAATTTCGCTTAATATCTATTGGAGAAGTGGCAAACTGCGAAGGAGAGGCAGAAAAACAGGATAAACGAGGAAGGGGCAAATACCTGCTTATGAAAAAGGCAAAAAAAAGGAAGGAGATAGTCTTGGAATTAATCATAGTTATCCTGAGCGATTCCCGTACCGCCGGCATCGCCCAGCCAGGGATAGACATTGGGGCATTCTCGGCAGGTCTCCATATAGCGCGTATCTGTGAGATTTTGTTCAGGGATCTTGAAAGGCAGAGCGCACGTCTGCCAGATGTTGCAGGGCTTCGGGGCCACCGCTACGCTCTTGTCGCACTTCCACGCCTCGATTTGATTAACGTCGCGAAGCTCCTTAGGTTCGGTCATGTACTGCAGCATCTGGGTCAAGGTCAGGATGTAGACGTCGGGTCTGTGAAATCGTAAGATAAATATTTCGTATAGAGTATATGTATATTTGTGGTTTAAATCCATCTTCTTTAAATACTCTTCAACTTTGGCTTGAAGATGTGAAAAAATGTTATGATTTGAAAAACCATATACCATATTAATGTTACGCTGCAGAATTTATTTATTTAAATTATATATTTGCAAATAAGGAATCTGTTATGTACAATCGGACTGTCATGTTCATATGTTTATTAAAAACCCTCTACACCTGGTGGCCAAAACAAAAGGGTAATGATGATGGGCCGCAGTGTGTGTCCAAGGGCGGAAGTGAGGGACTATGGAAGTTGATGCAAAAGAAAACTTTACGGCATTCTTTTGCGCTGCTTGGCAAAGTAGTACGCATATTCAGGCATCTCATGCAAACAGTATATTCCGCCCTTCGTGCTTGGTTCGACGTTTCCCATTATCCATTTCCCGCTTTGCCGCTTTCCCACTTTTCCATTTCCCGTGAAGCGAAAGCTTCAGATCCCTCCTCAGAATCAGTTTGAGCCTGGTCCGAACGGCAACGCAATGTTGAAAGTCATTCACACTAATTAAAAACTTCGCACAATTGTGCGAGAAATAGTTTCGCAGCAGCTGCTCTTTCAGTTTTCCCCTCGTTTCCTCTGTTTACCCTCCGTCCAGGTCAGATCTTTATAGTTTTTAACTTCTCTCCATTTTATTTTGCCGTAAACTAATGCATGAGGTGTGAACAGGTGAGCGAAAAAGATGGGCGGATGGGCCGAGATATGTGCCAGCATTTTGTCGAAAATGAAGTTTAAGTTTCTTGAGCTTCGAAAGTGGCAACACTAAAAAGTTTGAGTTTTCTTACCGCGCTTAAATTCATTTGCCAACGGCTTTTATTAAAGGGTTAACATTCATTGCGATCGTAATACCGTACATTTTATGTTTATTATGTGCACGGTTGACAAAATATTACTTTCGTTCTCTGAGGTTAAACAATATTGGGACAAACGCGGGATATTTCGTATCTTTGCGGGTCTATTTCAATATTTGCTCGTAAGTAAAGGAAACTGTAAAAAAAGTTTAAACAAAATGTGAAACACATTGGCGATTTATTTCAAAACTAATGGTTACTTTAAGTTCACATTCCTGTTAAATTGGTTTTCCATTTCAGGGTCTAACCGGAGAACCGTCAAGTGACGCTACTAATAAAAAGTTCCAAAAAATTTTAATTAACTTAACTACACCCAACTTGTCTTAACCCGCTAATCCAATCTTGTAAGCCGACCCAGCCCCACCGGTTTTTCACAAATTTTTTTAAAGCTTAGAAGTAGTTATCCGTAGATAGCGAGCATGTAACCTGCACCAGGCAAGCAAAGATAGCAGATAACATGGCCAACACACACACACACTCACAGACATAACACACACATGCGCACCCCTTGACCGATGTCGATGACAAATTGAGATTCTATCAGGATAACTTCATTAAGCAAGTTCTGTGCCACTTTCGCTTACCAGCCGTCTCTTTCGGCTCGTACGGCTGGCTCCACCCGTCCCTGTCTTATTTAGCTGACTTGTGTTGTTTTTGCACGTTTTAGCATTGCCTTTCAGTTGGCAACGACCTCTAATGCCGCTGTCCTGTTTTGGTTTTTTGTTTTCTTCTCTATAGCCCTTGTCCTTTCTCTTTCTACACACATATATCCCGCTCCTTTTTTGGCCTGGGCCTGAACTGATATTTTTCAAAATAAAACTTTAACAAAATTAAACTTTTCTCATTAAAACGTGATATTTTTCTTTCCCTATCCTTATCCGAGCAACTGCTCGTATTCCTGCTGATGATTTTTTTAAACGCTGACCGCAGCGTCGCCATTGTGAGCTGACCGAAAGGGCGTCAGAAAGGGAGAAAGTGGGAAAAAGCACGGTCAGATATTCCGTGGAGAGTTGTGCATATGGTTGAGGCACTGCCAGCAGGATTGGCACCATACACGGGGAAAAATTGTCCCAGAAGAAAACTATTAAAACTATTCGTAGCGAAGGTACCTTGACGTATTCAACAATGACTTATATCCAACAATATTTGTATGCTGCCCAAAACTATGCAATTTTCTATGTTCATATTAAATATGTGGGGATTTCAAGTCTCTCAACATTACATTATATTAATCCAAATATATTTCTGTCGAGCAACAGCTAGTCCCTGTTTTCGCCTTCTGTGGACAGGGATGTTGCTTTTGGAGGGACTTGGAGGTCTTCGACTACTACTCAAGCTGTCGTCGGATGGGCAACATGTGCCGCCGCTTCTACTAGCAATTTTTATAGCAATTGCCAATTTTGCTGTTGCTGCTGCTGCTCCTTCCTGCCTTGGTTTCCCCGGAACAATTTCTCCCGCTTTTCTTTATTCCCTCTCTTTGGCTACCAGCTCATCTCTCTTGGCTTTTTTTAATTGAATATTAAACTTGCTAGCGGCAATCGGAAGTGCACTGCAGGAAACGCCAGCTGACCAAGTGTGTGTGAGTGCGAGAATAGAAAGAGACAGCACGAGGGAGAGAGAAACAGAGGGAGATAGCTTTAAAGTTGGCTTTCAATTATAAAAACACCAACAACCAAAATATACTATGTATAACGACAAAAACAGAAGAAGATGAAAAAATAAATAGGTGAAAAATTGGGAGCACTGGATGCATATAACAGAGTTGGTTTAAATGCTGCCCTACCCGATATATCGGTTTGTAAAGGATTATCTATGTATGGTCGAATTCATAAAGTTGATCAAATTTAAAAGCTTTAATGTTATTCTAAGCGACTATGGACTAGATAACCATTTATTAGATACTCACAGTTCGAGGGCCCAGTCGAGGAACTTGTGCAGGCCGTTCTCCAGCGGCTTGGTCTGGAACCAGTTGGTGTGGAAGGGCATCATGTAGGGCGCCTTGTTCTGCTCGTAATAACGGGAGAAATCCTCCTGCAGCCACTGCAGCACCTCCTCTTCGTCGAGGTTGTGCAGCACGCACTGATCGAGGTAGGGGCAATGGCCGCCCTCGTATCCCTCTACGTAGTGGGTGTTGAGGGGTACCTCCCAAACGCCGGGGAAGGTGCGCGACGGGCAGGTGCCGCTTTTGCACTCGTGCGATATCTTGTAGTCGAGAGTATACGGCCACACTGGCACGGCTACTGGGGGGACAGTGATCGAGCTGTCGTAGATGTAGCCAAAGTCCTCCAGCACCTAGTGGTGATATTGCATCGAAATATGGATTGAAATACTTTGTAATACACGAATATAATACGAACAAGAGCAAACGCTATACCCGTTACTGTTTTACACAATTTTAAAATATTAATTTTGTTAGTGGAAATTCACAAGGGTCACCTATTGTCAGAGGAGGCATGTTGAGTAATTGATAGTGACGTCACTGCCCATATGAGGGCTTATAACTTAAATTTCTTCATAAATAGCAAAATAATGTTCCGATTTAAAAAATCTATGGTTAATCGATAGATTTTAACAGAAATAAGCTATACAAGGTCAAACGAAGGCATTCATAATAATATTATAGACGCCACAGTTTTCCGCGGCTTGTGGGAGCTAGAGTGGGCGTGGCCGGATGCAACTTCGTGGCAAGTTGCCGAGGCATCTCTTAAATACGTATTTTTAAGCAAAACTTTGTAGCTCTTATAGTTTTCGATTTTTGGTTTTTTGGGTTTTGTCGGCGTTAGAGTGAGCGTGGCTTGATCGGAAAAAACAATTCGCATTGGGAGCATCATAAAAACCTACATCCTTAATCCGTTACCGAGATATCATCTTTTCTAGATGCGAAAACCGTCTTTTAAGCTTGATGGGCGCATGGGTGGGTGTGGCTGAATAATACTACCACTATAAGATGCGCTGGCATCTAAAGATTGTACATACTGAGTTTCAACTTTATAGCTCTAATAGTTCCTGAGATTTCAGTGACTTTAGTTTTTCGCGTTTTGTGCGTTAGTGCGTGGAGTAGGCGTGGCAGGATGCTGTTATAAGGTTGCGCTGCGTAGGGACCTCAAGAATCTTCATGGTTAATCTCAACTGTGTATTTCTTATAGTTCCTGAGATCTCAGCGTTCATACGGACAGACGGACATGGCTCATTCGTCTTCGCTATTCATCCTGATCAAGAATATATATATACTTTAAAGGGTCGGAAACGCTTCCTTCTACCTCTTACATACTTTTCAACGAATCTAGTATACCCTTTTACTCTACGAGTAACGGGTGTAATAATTGAAGTTGTAATACCCCTTTCAAAAAAATCTTGAAAAGCAGCAAAAATATTTAAAAAGGAGTGAGCTCGCCTTCCGGTACTGATCATGAATATATTCATAGGCATTACGAAGATCTTTCAAATTCTAAATACTCTCTCGGAGAGTATGCAAAGTTGAAGGTGATGCAGAAAATATTTTTATGTCTTTAAGTAAATGATAAATAAAACAGGCCATAAAGTAATGCGAATCTAACAGTTTTTGCGAGCGAGAAATTAATGTATTAGCAAAGCAACAGATGGGAAACTTATCTGCGTTATTCCATCGACCCACACAGAATCGGTGGGCGTCATGTCGCATACACTCTTTCAGTTGGGTCTATTATCTGCATAAAGAGATTTGCCATAGATATGATTTTAAATGTGTGAATGTGCCAACGAATCAGATCGAGATTTTGGGGGAGGAAGGAGGTGGATGGATGGCTGGGAGGATAGATGGATGGATGGATGGATTGATGTCGCATAATGGGGCACTTGAACCGTTATGTACGTAGATGTGTTGTGACATTGATGTTATGTCATGTCATGTCAAGCTGAAACTTTCGGCCGAGTAACAGGGTACGCGTGTTTGTAGGGTTGAGGTTACGGTTAGGCAGTCATTGCCTCGCTGGATTTTCCACCAAACTCAATTTCCATTTAATGCCAATAGCACGCCAATTTAAATAAGGGAACTACCATACTCAAGCTGCTGCGTTTAAAACATGGATCATGGTTATTCATATATAGGTATTATTTATTTATTTATATACATTGAAAAACTATTTCAAACAAAACTGAAATAATTTTCATTAAGTAAACTGATGAACGTGTTCATTCAAATTTCTATACAAAATTCTATAGCGTAGATTAATGAAAAGGCTTAAGAATTACAGCTATTGCGAAAACTATTAAAATGTCAAGCAATACATTATTTCAGATATTCATTCCAATAGTGTTAAGTTCAACATTCACTGAGCTTGAGCAACCTTTAAAAAGAGATGCAATCTCATTCGCTTGGGAACAAATTGAGTACGTTTACCCATTCCATTTGGCTGCGTTGACAGAAGCTGAAGCTGCAGGTTTAAATTAATCATTTTTCGGTTTTCGATTCTGTTTTCGGATTTCTGGAGCTCCAGAGTGAACCCTCTGGCTCTGATGTCAAGGAGTCGCACTCGAAATTGCAAGACAATTGATGTTCTCATTGTTTGCATTTCTTTTGTCCACAGCAGCCCACCTGACACCCACATGCAATAACAATTTCAACTCACCTTGTATTGGGTGTTGCGGCCAGGCTTGAGGAACGGCGCTCGCATGCCGACCACTTCGTTGACGGACACATTGGCGAAGCGTCGCAGGATTTCACGCATGCCAATCATCTCGCCCACCCACTCCTCGTACCCCTTGTCCTGTAGTCCTTGCTGCTGCGAGATGCTTTCCGTTCCGATTTCGTGTCCATAGTATCCGAGGTGCTGGATCTGCTGGTAGTTGCTGCAATAGCGGATGCAGGGAATCGGGGATCAGTACGGAAATGAATTGGTCATAATTGGATACGGATGTTTTCTAAAAAGGATTAATTTCTAACAAAGAACCGGAAACCCTGGGAATCTAAAATTTAATATGTAATTCATTTAACAATTTAAATTAAACATCGAAAAGAGAGCGGGCTAAAGAAGGTTTGACCATAAAGCTATTTCAATTACAAAACAAATGGAAATACTAAAAGGAACGCTATAGTTGAGTGCCGCGACTGTCAGATATTCCTTTCTCTGTTAATCAATCGTAATATCAATCCCAACTTTATATCTCATATAGCCGACGGCTATTGGTCTTGGTCTATTTTAGTTTATAAAACAGAACAAAATAAAGTACAGCACTTGTTCTGAAAAAATGGGGAAAGTTTAGTTTTAACATTATCAACTTAGGAATAAACAGTTGGAGTGGTCCTTTCTTCTTATAGCTAGAAAATTATTTTCACACGTGATGGCTTAACACAAAGAAGAGCACACTAACGTACAATGGGGAAAGTAGAATTAGAAACTTACTGACGAACATGAACACAGAATTTCTCACACTTATAGTTCTTGCCAATTAAAGGAATTTCCAAACAGCCAAGCTAAAATGCAATGGGAAACGGAACAAACTTTTTGGAAAGGGGTTAGGCGATGGTGTTTAGGAAACAGAAGCAACTCATGAGGTGCCGGGAAGAGTCATCGAACTAGAAATGCTCTACCAACACTGGGAGAGCAAAGATTTGTGAAACTCAAGAGATGGCATTAATTATTATAATAAAGATCTTAATAATGGTTTTAATTGGAGGTATTAGGCGTTACAGTGTACTGCAATGTAAACTATGTACTACCGAGAAAAACTTTTTAAACTAATACAAATACGTGTGACTTTCTGGACAAAGATGTAAAATAAACAAAATACGAGTACACCAGTGTGTGTGCATTTTTTCTGAAAGGATGCCGTGGGGGGCTCAAAGGGGGTCGAATGGCGTAGCTTTAGTATACTGCTAACGAATAAAGGCTGCTTGCAAAGCACAAATAGTTACCAAAAGCGGAGAGCGACGGACAGAAATAATATAAATGAAAATGGAAATAAAATTATGAATGTATTCAGCTGTTTTTTCGTTGTCTTTTCATGTTCTGTTAGCTCCTCTTTTTTCCTCTGTTAACTTGCTTCATGAAACAGCAGCAACAGCAGCAACAGCAACAACAAGCAACAGCAGTAAGAATGTTGCATGAATGTACATATTTATTAAACATTTCACTCACAGTGCCTCCTCCCCTCGCTTTGTGTGTTTGTTTGCAAATATTTTGCAATGAAATTACGCCCTAAAGTCAAACTTTTGGCACAAAAAGCCCGAACCAGCCCGTCCTGCCCATTGAGAAACGAAAGCGAGAAGTGAATATCATAATGAATGCGATGAGTGTTGTTGTTGTTACTGGCGCACTTATAAAAATATTAGAAATTAGACCAAACTTGTCGATATGGTTTTCTAACATAACTGATTAACCCGAAGTAATGATTAATATAATGAAATAATCAAATACTAATTGAACGAGGCACCACTACGTATTTGATCTGTGTACCTGTTTTTTCGTGTGTAGCTCTACTGACGCACTTGATGCACCGTAGGCGTTGCAGCCACGCCCTTTGTATAGGGGCGGCCTGCATCTACACCTCCGTTATTCCAACCTCCCGCCGCCTTTCGTACCCTTAGCCCATGCTGCACTTCCAAACAATAGAGCATGGGCACAAAACTATCTGACATCGTCAAAAAGTTCATGCAAAAATGTGGAAATGTGAAAAGTTGTTGAAAAGCCTGGGCCTCAGGATGTGCATCTCTGTGTGCGTGGATGCATCGTTTGGCGCGTATGTATGGGGTAGATTTATTGCATGACGTTTCAATTGTTAGACAAACAGCTGGACGAGGAACTAGAAGAACAGGGATGGGTTAGGGGGTGGCGATACTTAAAGCCAAGGCCAAATGAGAAAAACTGAAAACACGTGTGGAAGCCCGAGCACAGTGAGGGAAACGGATCCCGAAGAAAGTCAACAATTCAAACGAACATTGCCAGCAATGTGAGACATACAGGGTTCTTGGTGGGCAAAGCGTCCTGCCACATCCACTCTAACGCCCACAAATCACGAAAAACTAAAATTGCTTAAATCTCAGGAACTATTAGAGCTAGAAAATTGAAATTCAGTATGAATCATCTTGGGATGCCAGCGCATCTAATAGGGGACCATTATCCGGCCACACCCACTCTTACGCCCACCAAGTTCAAAACGCGGTTTTCGCATTTCCTAGAAAAGCTGATATCTCGGTAAGTATAAGTGATAGAAAGTTTTGATTAAGCATGTAGGATTTTATAATGCTCTCGATGCGAATTGTTTTTCCGATCAAGCCACGCCCACTCTAACGCCCACAAAACCCGAAAAACCAAAAATGCGAAAATCTCTGCGAAATCCCCGGAAAACTGTGGCATCTATAGTATTATTACGAATGCCTTCGTTTGACCTTATATAACTTATTTCTGTCAATCTCTATCGATTTACCAAAGAACTTTCAAATCGGAACAATTTTTCGCTATTTATGAAGAAATTATATATGGTTATAATATGGTTATAAGGCCTCATATGGGCAGTGACGTTACTATCAGTTACTCAACATGTTTTCTCCGACAATAGGTTCTGCTTTGGGAATTTCCACTAGCACAATGAATATTTTAAAAATGTGGAAAATTTTTCCCAGTACCACCAATTCACGCTTTTGAGCTAAGCTTGATTAATTTAGTTTGATTTTTCCTTAGAATACTTCACACTAGTAAATAACTTGGACGTTTCTGCACTTCTGTGGATAAAAGCAGCGAAAATCAGTAGATATAAGACAAAACTACTAATTGTTGGATTCGCTAAAAGACACCCAGTAACCCAGCTAAAAATGCACTCGTTGAAGGCATCTCATGATAACCTTGGTACTTCCAAATTATCTACCACCCCTCTTGAAACGGCCCAAATTACTTCAGATGACGGCATATGAAAAGTGGCTACAGCCCGGAAACCGAAGGTCGAAAGGGATGCAGAGGTGACAAATGTCAGCAGCAATTAACGGAGCCACCGAGGCAAAGCAAAAATAGTCAAATGACGCTACAAAGAAAAACTGACAAACGAGGCTGAGTGGGGGGTGGTCTTTAGAGTGGACCAAGTCGGTGGTGGAAGTGCGTCAAACTCAGTCACATTTGATGAATTTCCCTTTGGCCTTGTCGCGAGTGGCCGAAGACAAAGTGCAGTCATTGTTTATGCCATCAACCGACGCGGCAAGCTCCTCGAGTTGCACCCCAAAACCACCCACTCGGCAGTTGCCAGCGTCCCCTTGAAAAATGCCGTCGCCCTTTAAATTTTCTAGCAACGAAAATCGCAATTTTCCTTGTGCCAGCCTTCTGCTCGCACTTTGCGCTTGCTAACAAGTTTAATTTGCATTTGAAAAGGTAGAAACACATGTAATCTGAACGATTAGAAATTGTAAGATTACACTTACACATTCTTATATGGGAGTGCGGCGGCAAAGTCTCAGCAAAAGCTAAAAAATGTGTTTTTTCAATTAGTACAGTGAGGGATTTGGCTGGCCAATTCCAATAAAAATAAACAAGTAGTAGTGGGAAACCTTGATAAGTAGTGTTAAATTAGTCTTAATCGAAAGAACACAAGGAAAGAAGACAGGGATTAGCAGAGGCAGTAGCATAAAATCATATTTTGGAAAAAAGCAAAACAGCGTTGGTGAAATTCCACTTCGTTGGTGAAAATCACTTCGTTTAATAAAAATCAAGATCTGACATGATGAAACGCTATAGTCGAGTGCCGCGACTATAAGATATTCATGTTGATGGTGATAATTCATAAGGCGCCACCTATTGTCAAAGAAAGCATGTTAAGTAACTGATAGTGACGTCACACACCAAGTGAGGCCTTATAACCTAAATTTTTTCATAAGTAGCGAAATAATGTTCCGATTTAAAAAATCTTTAAAAATTCGATAGATGTTAACAGAAATAAGTTATACAAGGTCAAACGAAGGCATTCCTAATAATATTATAGACGCCACAGTTTTCCGCGGTTTGTTGGCGTTAGAGTGGGCGTGGCCGGATGAAAACTCCTGACAAGTTGCAGTGGCATCTCTAAAATACGTGTTCTTAGGTCCAACTTTCTAGCTTTCTAGCTTTCTAGTTCCCAAGATTTTCGCATTTTTGGTTTTTCGGGTTTTGTGGGCGTTCGAGTTGGCGTGTCTTGATTCGAAAAAAACTATTCGCATTGGGAGCATCGTTAAAACCTACATGCCTAATCCGAACTTTCTATCCCTTATAGTTACCAAGATATCAGATTTTTTAGAAGTTGTGGCTTGGTAATGGTACCATCATAAGATGCGCTGTCATCTCAAGATAATACATACTAAATCTCAATCTCTTTAGCTCTGATAGCTCTTGAGTTTTTGAAGATTTTAATTTGTGGGCGTTACAGTGGGCGTGGCAGGATGATGTGATAAAATTGTGCTGCGTAGGCACCTCAAAAATCTGCCTGCTCAATCTCAACTATTTATCTCTTACAGTTCCTGTGATCTTATTGTTCATACCGACGGATGTACAGGCTATTCGCTATTGTTACTGATCAAGAATATATATACTTTAAAGGGTCGGGAACGCATCATTCTACCTGTTACAAACTTTTCAATGAATCTAGTATACCCTTATTCAAGTGGGCGTGGTCAGATGCTGAAAAAATAATTCGTATTGGGTGAATCATTAGAAGCTACATGCTTAATCCCAACTTTCTATCACTTACAGTTATCGATATGTCAGCGTTTCTGCAAAAAGTTAGCTTTGTGGGTGTAGAAGTGGGCGTGGCCGGATAGCAGTTTCGCCTTAAGATGCGCTGGCATCTGAAGAGAACACATACTAAATTCCAACTTTCTAGCTCTAAAAGTT